CATCATGGTGCAGGGGGTGGAGGTTGACTGGAGGATGAGGAGGCTGTTGAGAAGTTCTTCATCATGCTGAAAATCTCTGTCATGCGTTCCCCAATGATGTCAACTGTTTCTTCAATTCTTGATGCAAATGTGTTGAAATCACTTTGCAATTGATCATGTTGTTCTTGCATTTGCCTCTCAATACATGAAAAACGCTCCTCTTGAAACTTTTTCATCCGCTCAAATCTGCTTTCTATTTCCTATAAAGTATGAGAAGACATATCTTCTACATTCTCAGATGGTCCAGGTTCAGTACTCGTTCTTCTTCTTTTGCGCACATAGACTTGTCCTTCATTAACCCCTTTTGGAATACTGACACTTCCTGAACTGTTGCATCTCCCTCCATTTCATTCCTAATCATAAACCATTGTCCTGCCATATTCTTTTTAATCAAACCCATTTTATTCAATGTCATATCCCCTAACACATTATTTGTAGAAAACGTAATCTTATTTGTTGCATCATCAGGGGTGATCTCAATATTCAACTTCTCACGTATTAACGTAACAAGCATCCCCCAATATATTTCTCCTTTTTTCTGTGGTGATCTCTCCTAACTTCTTAATCCATAACTTCGCTGAATTAACTTGCCTCTCTGCTACTGTTGCTTCCATGAACATTAAATCCTTAACCGTCACATTTCCATTTGTCTCTTTCCTACCATTAAATGTGAAAGTCAAATATATATGAAATAATCTAATAGAAAAATTCTATAACTTTGTAGATTTACACCTATGTGGATGGTAAGTCCCTATCCCGAAAACATCAATCCAAGCTTGTTTGGAATCCCAGGTTCTAGATACTTTTTCCAAACCTTCACAATCAAATCCTATCCAGGTTGCTAAATCTTGTAGTGTCACTACAAAGTTCTAATTCTTTAATCTAAAGAACATTGTATACGCCTGAAACTGATCACTATCTGTCTCTACAACTTCCAAACTACCAAAAAACTTATATATCAAATGCCTATATCCATCATATCTCATACTGACCAAACTGTCCCATTTCAAATTATTAATCTAACCATTGATTTCATCACCTAAACCTAAACTTGTTAGAAGTCCTAAATCCAAACTTCCTCCAAGGCAAATATCTTTTTTCGACACGTCCTCATATTGTTTTTTATGTCGCAAGTCTCGAAATTGAATTGTAGATGAGGATGCGCCTTCCTGAGGAATGGTTGTATTTTGTGCCCTCACCATTTTATGCTTTCTTCTAAAACCTGTATGCATAAAAAAATCGTCATCATAATCTGCCAAAGACACATAGCCAATTACTCTTAACATATACACTTTGAGCTCATCATCAATTTCTGCATGGCACTGTAAAATCTGGTAATGTTAACAAATGTCCAAAATTAAACCAGAAACTAATGAGCTCATCATCAAGCAAAAAACAGAATACCCAACTAATTTCTCAAACAATAAGAGAATGGTTCATTCTTCAGACACTTGTTTCGCATTCAGACTACATTTGTTGTCATATTTGTAACAAACAGGCACAACTTAATTAGAAAATGTAATTTCTCTTTCAATGCTCATCAAAAATTTGGCACATCATAATTACATTCTCATTGTCCCTCAAAAAGGAAGAAGGTGAGCTCCTAAAAAGTACATTAGCTTCAACCTACCACCCTTTCCTGATGCATTTTCGATCTTGTAATACTTTAAATATGCACTAATATTTCTGTAGGGGATGACATTATAGAATGCTAATCTGTAAGGTTATTGATTTCCTAACCATGTCAGTAGAATATAACTTTTAAGCATCTTTTAAGTTGTTTGGAGGGGTGAAAAACATGCAACACTTTCTTTCACTAATATGATTTGTTGCATGTAGATGTTTTGTGATTATGTGACAGGAAATACCAAGTTTTTTTATCAAGTTTTTTTCTATTTAATAAGTTTGATTTGAATCTCATCATGAACAGATCAATGAAGAAGAAAACACACACAATGTGACACTTGATGCAAAGAATACTAAAGCTGCCAGCCCTTCCTATGAAAATGCAACTTCCTTAAATCAGAAATATCCACCAGTTCCTCAATGGCCATACACACCTCAACATGCAGAACAATCTTCCATGAATTCAAGACCGTATGTTCCCACTTGCAACAACGGGAGAGGGTGATTGGGTGGAAACATACGGTCTTGAATTCATGGAAGAAACATGCATGAAGACCATAAAAAAACACCCAAATATTTTGTCTCTACAGATGAAAAACCAAGCAATATATTTGTACTTTATTTTGTTTGAATTTGACAGAAACAGTTTCAAGATTACATGCAGCGTAAATGCAGAGAATCAAATTCAGGCCTAACACATTCATCCAATGCCGTGCAGTGTAAATACAGAGAATCAAATTCAGGCCTAAGATATTCATCAAAATAAACTACATTTCTCTTTATCAATGGCACAACACTTCTATTTATCAATCACACAAACCAATCCCACCAAATTGACTGGATTTCTCTTCATCAACTCAAGTCCATTCAACACATTCATCCAACCAAAAAAAAAAAAAAAAAATTGAAAAAGAAACTGTCTAATTACCGATGGCAGATGACGAAGACGAAGAACAAGCGCAGAACAGGAATCCAGAAGAACAAGAGCACGAAGACGAAGAACACCCTATAACGTAGATGGAAGACGAAGAAGATGGTAATGGCTGTGAGTTTTAGTTTTAGAAACTTCCCCAAAATGTTTAACCTAATGCGTCAGTTTATTTTTTAAATTTTATTTATATTAAAGGACGGGCGTCCTTAAGTAATGGACGCCCGTCCATTCTTTATGGACAGGCGTCCATAAGGGTTGGACGGCCGTCCTTTACATAAGGGATGGCCGTCCAACCCTTACGGACAGGCATCCATTACTTATGGATGCTCGTCCACAATGAAGGGATGGTCGTACACCATTTATGGACGGCTGTCTAGTGTTTTAATTTTATTTTTCAAAGTAATTACTTTTGGACGGGCGTCCATTACTTACAGACGCCCGTCCATAGTTTTATTTAAATTTGAAACAACAAAAGAATGGACGGGCGTCCATTCCTTACGGACGCCCATTCATAGTGAAAGGACGGTCGTCCACAATGTTTAGACGGCCGTCCAAAGATTTTCATTTTTTATTTGTAAAAGCAAAATAATGGACGGGCGTCCATTTCTAAACATAAGGGATGGCCGTCCAAAATTGGTGGACCGGCGTCCCCAAAGTTTTTTTTTTTTTTTTTTTTTTTCATATTGTGTAAAGGACGGGCATCCATTATTTGTGGGCGCTCGTCCAAAAGTAATGGATGGACGGTTGTCCCTAATGTTTAACAAATTTTTTTATTGTATTTTATTATAGACGAGCGTCCTTTAAATGGGGACGCCCGTCCGTCGTATATGGACCCCCGTCCATAATATGGACGAGAGTCCATGGGAGTGAACGGCCGTCCATAACGCGCGTTCCTAGAACAAAAATCAGGCGCCTGGGTACACGTAGGCCAGTACACATTTTCGGTGCAAAATATTTGGTGTCCATAGCTTTAAAAATAATATTATATTAATATTTTAAAAAGAGGGCAATTTAGTAATCTATATAGCATACTCACCAATTTATCCTCTCAACCAAACATATCAATATAACATATCCACCAATTTATTCCAACATAACAAACACATTTTCTTAAATATTCCCAATAATCTTTAAAATAATCTATTTTTCATTAATATAACATTCTCCGTAATACAGTATTATTTGAACCAAACGCACCTTAAGTGTAATTTTTCTTTTGTCGATCATATTCAACTTAGAGTTGGTGTTCAAGTTGACAATTCTAGCTGAGACCAGTTGCCTTGCTTTTGAATACAAAAACATAGTCTACATAAACATGACAAATATATGTACCCCGTGGGAAAAATGTATAAATATTGAATGCACCACACAGGAAAATAACTTGGTTATTAGTATTGGCAAATGTTTTTATAGTATAATTATAGAAGTCAATCTGCAGCACAGTGTACAGAAAATTAATAAAACACTAATATTCTTAAGAAATGATGCTAACTAACTAAGAATTGGTGGAACAAAGAAGGTGCAGAAGCGGTATGCAGCATAATGGCCTAAATAGATAAAGAAATAAAAGACCATAACCAGAGTTTCCCTCAGGGGTGAAATCAGCACCGCCATGGATACTGAGAATTGAATGCAAAAACAGGTGTAATGCAAGATAATAATTGGAATAAAAGCCCCTAAGGTATAACTATGAAGTTTAAATAATATGGAGGAGGAATAGGCGATTTCGAGCATGGCAATACTGATAGCCACAAATGCATATCCGGCAAGAACCAATAAAGATGCAAGATTGGTGTGAATTAGTTGTGCCCAACACAGTAGGCTCGCTCCTATCACCGCAGCATTCATAGCAAATGTGTCCGAAACTGCAAAAAGCTGTAGCGCTGATTTCTCAACTTTTTTAATGGTTGTTTCATTTAGATTAAAGAGATAAGTAGTGTTATTGTTTTTTGAATCATCACCACCCTTATTGTCACCAATATCACTACTACCTACTTGAACCGAAGCAGCAAACGCCACGCCAACTACAAGTGTTGCTACCACAAGAAAAGCATTTATCTTCTGATTAACATCTTCTTGTTCTGTTGCCTTCTTGCTTCTAACTTTATAACGTAGATCTTCAATTGTCCTTAACCCACTGTTAATTCTGTGTCTACGAACCATAGCAAAAAGATGCACCAGAAATAACACAGATAAGCGTCGTAAGCTGCATTTCAATTTCAATATCAAATTATATATTAAACTCAAGCCACAACATATAATTGTGAGATAATGTGATAAGTAATATTATTTTTTTATTAATTAATGATATAATTCCTTCAAATCACAGAGAAAATCCTGACATATTAAATTTATGATACTAATTAATGAATAGATGGCTTAATTTTGAAAGTTTCATATTGGTCTATACCATTCCAAATCGAGTTGGTGTGGAGGGATCTACTTTTGCAGAAGGTTTCTCATTCTTAGTCACACCAACAACCTTCGCATCAACATGTTTGTCCTGCATCACCTCAAAAATTAGGCATGATGAATTGACTCAGGTTGAATATACTCAGTGTACAATAAGTAACGATATCTAATCCAAATAAGGGTTGATTGTTTATCATTTGAGTCGTTAAATTGTAACGTTTTTTTCTTCCTATTTTTATATTTTTAATTATCTGACTAGAAAATCAGTTACCATGCATGCATTTCATACCTTCTCAGACTGTTTATCAGGTACCTCTTTGTTATTCTCTTCATCTAGCATTTCATCAGATTGCTTCACGACATTAAAAGCAATGTCGTAGGCCGTGCGGCCTGTCTTGTTCTTAAGAGCTGCGTTTCTTCGCTTGTAGAGCAAAAGAGTACCCAGCACCAAGCAATGGCCATGCCTTGCTGCTAAATGCAAAGGTGTATTTCCATCGCGGTCCTTCATGTTAATAAGCATATCCGAATCCGATTTGTTCCACTTCAATATGTGCCTCACCAGATACTTGTTCGCACTCTTGGCCGCGACGTGAAGAATGCTCCGGCCTTCAGCATCGAGGATTTCATTTGGATAAGGCCATTGTTTAAGCAACGCCCTCACAATTTTGACGTACCCCTTTTCACTTGCAACATGGATAGCATAGGAGCCTTGTTTATTTTTATATAAAACGTTATCACTCATAATTTCTGAGAGATAACGAACTTCCTCCAGATGGCCTGTGGATGCTGCACTATGAAGTAGAGTGTTCTCAGCTTCATCTCGTGCGTCTAGTCGCTTCGGCTTCTCCTTATGAATTAATTCCAATACCTCTGTACGTAAAATAATTAAAAATAATAATTACATCTAAATAGATCAAACAGAAGATTAAAAAATTCAAAATTTCAATGGATTGAGAGGTGGAAGTATCCACCTAAATTTAATTTATCCTCAGCCATGAGTTGCACCAGGCACTTTGCAGTAGCTGAACAGTCAACACGATCAGGTACAGGTATAACATTAAAAAAAATTTCAAGAAAGTGCCGGTTGCCATACTCAACCGCCAGACATAAAGGAGACTGATTTGCCTTGTTCCCGCAATTGCACACATGCTCCGGACCTGTATGTTCCGCCAATAAATAAGCCATTTCATCTCCTTCACCTTTCTTCGCTGGATTTTTAGAATGCTTGGATTTAGGAGCTAGTTGTAGCGCTAATAAAGCCTCATGCAAAGCTGTGTTTCCTTCATTGTTCTTCATCCTCAGCGGGTGTGGTTCGTCTGGATGCAAGTTGTGATATATTTTTGCATGGTCGACTAGTATTTCCGCTGTGTGAAGCATGCCAACTCTAGCGGCAACATGAAGTGGAGTGTCGCCGTGGGAGATTGTCTCGATATTCAAATTTGGAAATTGATCAGCCATGAGCTTGGTGAGCTCTTCATTACCGGAGCTTGCCGCCACGTGAAGTAGTGAGTTATTTAAGGGGCCGAGTTTTTTGAAAATTATATCTGACATGTCTCGATGATACATGTCACAGAAGGGATAACCATTGGCATTGCCTTTCATTGTGATTTGAACAAGGTCAAGTTCCTTGACCATTTTCTGAAATGAACCTGCAGTTAGGAAATGTAAATGCTTTTAAAACTAGACCAACCACAAGCAGGAGGTAAATGGCTTATATATGTATCAAAAGTGAAGCTTGCTTCCATTGGCCTCAATGCATCAATACTTGAACTCATATTTACACTATTCTCCTAAAAAGAAGGAATGTCAAGAGACAACAAGAAGAAGAAAAAAGAGCCAGCAGGACGGGAGGGGTCTATAGTCTTGGATTTGGGGGCAGTTCGTCATGAAAATCAGAAATCTGTGAGCCCAGAGATAACTAAATAAAAAAAGAGAAGCAATATTAGGTTTAGGAGTAACTTTGTAATAAGTTAACACAAGAGGAAACTGAAGTAGTCGAAGAGCCTTCAGATTGAATCTAGCTAAAAAAAATAAGGGACCCACTGTTAATTTCTCTAGCACTTTACTACCGGATTCGGGAAATCAGTAGCAAAAAGTATTAATCTCATCTTTATGCTTGGAATACATATTTTAACCTATTTTTTTAATCAGGTGCCATCTTGACTGAAACTTTATTATATATATAACTTTTGAATAAGTTTAGAGTAAAGTATGTAGAGAGATAATAAATTTATTGCTACACAAGAATATATTTGTAACCCGAGTTAACTCAAAAGGTAGGATAACTTTCAAATTCAAATCATGTTTCTCAAAAGTTATTAATTAAATCTTCTAGTTCGTAAATTTTCCATCTGTAACTGTAAGCTTCAACTTCTACGTTACAGTTTCTTTACTTTATTTGTATCTTGCCTTTATACTTTTCTTCTTGTTCTTTTTTTTTTTCTTTTCAATAATAATAATAAAAATTGTGAATGTGCATCACGCTGGCATCTAAGAAAGAGTAGTGAGTGGATATTTGGTTGTATTTGCTTTATTCCCTGTTGATATATATATATATAATAAAAATTGTGATGATCACGTTGGCATATGGCATCTAAGAAAGAGTAGGGAATGGATATTTGGTTGTATTTGCTTTATTCCGTGCTGAGATTCAATGTCGGGTTTACAAGCTGGAGAATGCAAAGGAAAGAATGCACACACAATTTTTTATTATCTCAAACAACGTTTATATACACGCTAATTACATCATTGTATATGTCACGTACATGCCTATTTTACAAAGCATTAAATGCTATCCTAGACTGTAGACATTTTTACAAGTTATTATATTAGAGTCAAACATTCCTAACCAATTTGACATTTGTCAATCTTATCCCTAAAAAACAGCTAAACCCCTCCAAGTAGTTGACTGTCATTGACAACATTAATGATGGCTCTTAATCAGCGACCTCTTTCAGGCAGGACGTATAAGGCTTCTAATTGCAAGCTCATTTGATCGCTTGGACACTTTCCTGTATTATTTCTAGATCGCATTACCTTCTGGTCACTTCTTCCAAGATCGCATTACCTTCTGGTCACTTCTTCCAGATTGCATGCTCATTGCGACACATGCTTATGAACACATCTACTTCTGCTCGCATCCTTCTTATCTAGCACATCTGGTCGCGAGCTTCAGATCGCAAAGCCTTTAGATCATATTCCTCATGTTTCTAGAAAGATATCACATGGCATAACACTCCTCCTTGATATCTTTTCGGGAAACACTAAGTCCGAACCTTAAATCTTCGAACTTGGATTTGCATAATCCTATTATCAAAATTTATGCTGCTTGTTCTTTAGGTTGACAATGAATGATCTTCACTTCTTTTTTCTGCTCGGCTTCACAAATAGCATGATACTTGATCTTTATATGCTTTGATCGGCCATGAAACGCAAAATTCTTGGCCATAGCAATGGCATATTGGTTGTCACAAAAGATTGTTGTTGGCTCATGTTGTTCTAGCTTCATATCCTTCAGGATCTTCCTTAGCGAGATCGCTTGATTCACTGCAGCAGCTATAGCAATGTATTCTACTTATATAGTTGATTGAGCCATTATTTCTTATTTCTTGGACAACCAACTAATTGCTCCTGAATTTAAGAAAAACACAAACCCCAATGTGCTCTTCATGTCATCAACTAATCCTGCCCAATTGCTATATGTATATCCAACCAAGTCGAAGTCTTTAGACCTTCTATGCCATATCCTGAGGTCTACATTTCCTCTAACATATCGCAGCACCCTTTTGGTTGCTTGCAAGTGGACTTTGCTTGGCTCATTCATAAACCTCGATAAGAGGTTACAGCATACATGAGATCAAGTCTGATTATGATCATGCTTTTGTATCTACTTTCATCAACTTTGCAACCTCCACCATCTCTGCTCATCTTTTGGTTTAGAACTAGTGGAGTACTCAGTGGATTACAACTCTCCATGTTAAACTTCTTCAAGATCTCATTTGCATGTTTTCTCTGACAGATAAATATGCCATGTGGAGATTGGCATGTCTCCATCCCAAGGAAGAAGGTCATCTCCCCCAAATATGTCATCTCGAACTCCCTATGCATTGCTCTCTTGAACTGGTCCACTCGATCAGGATTATTTCTAGTCACTAGCAAGTCATCAACATATAAGGAGATGATTATGAGATTGTTTTCTGATTCCTTCACATAAAGAGTCTGTTCATTGGGCTTCTTGTATAACCAAGTTCACTCAAGTACTCATTTAATCAGTTATACCAGGCTCTAGGTGCCTTCTTCAACCCATACAAAGCCTTCTTCAGCAAATAAGCTTTGTCTTCACCCCCTTTAATTGTAGAGCCCTCTGGTCGCTCCACATATATTTCTTCGTCCAAGTAGCCATTCAAAAAGGTTGACTTGACGTTTAGCTGATATATCTTCCATTTGAACTAAGTTGTAAGTGCGATGAGAAGTCTGATCATGTCATGTCTTGCAACTGGAGCAAACGTATCTAAAAAATCTACTCCATATTGTTGAGAGTAGCCCTTGGCTACAAGTCTAGCCTTGAATTTGTTGATTGATCCATCATGATTTAACTTTATTTTGAAGATCCATTTGACTTGGATGATCTTCTGATCTCTGGTAGCGTGCCGAATGCTCCAAATTAATAACCTTCCTAACCTAACTACTAAATTGTATATAGGGTAAGCAAGAGTCAATCCCACAGGGAATGCTTCGATTAAATTCTATATTCTAAAACAATGGAAACAACAGAAAAATAAAACAAAACCCTAAACAATAAACATGACAACAGTAATGAAAGGGGGTTGTAGTCAAGGCAAACTAAATAAAACAAAGGAATCTCTAATGGTAGAAAATATCAGGTTAAAAGCAATCAGTTCTCGGTTCAAGATCCACCTAAGCATGCATTAGACATGTACTAACCGTAACACTATTCTATCTCATTATTATAGAACTACTGACCCTAGGAAACACTAAGCTCTGTTACCTGAATTTTTCCTTAATTGTCACTAATGAAATAAGCTGTCCAAGTAGATCCCAACCCTTGAACAACCTAGAACAAGCTCTCTAAGTTTAATTCAATAGCAGCCTTAAGAATTAGGAAAATAGATCAATCTAAGCAACAATCTCGCAAGCTCGGATTATTTAACTTAGGTTATGTTATTCAAGATGACAGAATGAAAACTTGTCCATAATCATCTATCATCATATGTTACTCATTGAATAGAAAAAGGACGATTACGTATCACAATTCCTAATTCTAATAGGTAAAATTCTGATTAAACAATTTAGCAGGCCAAAACTAAATCACTCAAACAATAATCATAAACAATTAAAACAGAATAACATAAACAATTCCAATAAAAACGAGATTAAGAACAATGTTACTGAAGTCAAGTTACAGCAATGACATGAATTTAGGCTTCAAAATCCCCTTGAACTGACGAAGAGAAATCAGCCGCACATCTTGACTTGACTTAGAAAGTAAAAAAAACTGAAAAACAAAACTCCACTGCCGTCTCCCTCCTGGTTAACCTAACACTCCTCCATAAATAACATGTTTTTCTCCTAATTCTACCCCAAGAATCACGGAAAATCTTTCCTAGACGTTTCCTAAAAGATAGACTTCTAGATTTGTCAAAATCTTATCAGATATGGAAAACAGAATTTGTCTCCAGTTTGCACCAGGATTCTCGCAACGTAAAAGATCTTTTCTGGGCTTGGTCACTTCATAAAAATTGTAGTCCCAGATGTGTAGATGAATCTGGGCATTTGAATCACCCGCTTTCGATATCTGACGCTCCAGCTAGGCCCGTTCGAAGACTCGATACTCAGCCAAGAAATCCTTCCGCGACTAGGATTCTAGGTCTAGTTTTGCAACAACTAATAAAGACCCAAACGAACTCGGATTCTCTCCCATAATACCTTCTTGGAAAGCTTGATTTGTCAACTTTACTTTTTCTGAAGAACACTTTTGCAATCGAGAAATCTGACTCTATGAAAAACCTGAAAAACGCATCACTAGTCAGAATAACAAAAATCTGGAATTTCCTAATCTTTTATCACTTATTTCCTAAAGCCTATCCAGTTATGCCAAACTCATAAAATAAACTCTAATCAACTCAAATAGGCATAAAACATAACAAAAAACATAATATGGAAGGAATAAAAAATATATAAATTCCACTCTATCAATCTCTCAACCAACCTCCAGGTTTCATTCTTTTCAATCATATTCAACTCCTCCTTCATTGCATCTCTCCATTCTTTTGACTTCGCAGCTTCAGCATAGCTCATAGGTTCCAATATAGCTATATTGCACCTCTCATATACTTCAGCTAGAGGCCTGATCCTGCTAACTGATGGTTCTTCGTAAGCATCTGATTCTTCCTCAACTTCATTCTTGTTGTTAACGACCTCTCTTTGTTAAGGCCTTTCTTCTTCTTCAATTTTCTTCTCCTCCTAATTACAAACTGACATTTCATCAACCCTGACATTTCTTGTGATCAGAATCTTGTTCGTAATTGGATTGAGAACTCTATAGGCTTTTGATTGGTTGCTATAGCCAATGAAGATTCCAGCTTCAGCTTTCTCATCAAACTTGCTTTTTTTACTCACTGGAACATGAGCATAAAAGAGGTTTCCGAAGAGTTTGAGGTCCTCCACACTTAGCTTTACTCCGTAGCAAGCTTTTACTGGAGTTCAATTGTTAAGAACCTTTGTTGGCAATCTATTTATCAAATAGACTCTTGTATTGATCGCTTCAGCCCAAAATGTTTTGGACAACTTTTTCTCATCGATCATGCATCTGGTCATCTACTCCATTTTGTTGTAGAGTGTAATGACTGCTGAACTAGTGCTTAATTCTAACTCCTCTACATGTCTCTTCGAATTCACTCGAAGTGTATTTTGTCACATTATTGCTGCGAACAGATTTGATTGTTAAATCAATTTGGTTTTCGACTAGAAGCTTGAACTTCTTAAATACATCGGCCATTTCACTCTTCTACCTCAAGAAGTGAACTAAAGTCATTCTAGAGTAGTCATCAATGAATTATACAAAGTAGAAGGAGTCTGCATAGAACCACACACATCGGTGTATATCAGTTGGAGCTTCTTCGTAGCTCCAAGTTGCATTTCCAGGAAATGGTTGTCTGCTCAATTTTCTAAGCTGACAAGCTTGACATAGACCCTTCTCTCTTTGACTTTGGTAAATTATGCACTAGATTTTTGTGTTTCATCTCTTTCAAGCCATTGTAATGAAAATGGCCAAGTATTTTATGCCAAAGTTCTGACTCAGCTATTTTAGCAAACTGAGCTTGAACTTCTGGTTTTCTCTATTCTATGAGAAAGCTTTTTCCCATCATCTTGACTTTCATCAACTTACTCCTTTCACTATCTACTATAGTACACGACTTGTCTTGAAAGTGTAAAGAATAATCTTTCTCTAACATCTATCCAACACTTAGTAGACTCTGGTTGATTTCTGGCACATACAACACATTTGTGATGTGCTTTATACTCGATGGAGTCTGGATGGCAACTTTGCCTCTTCCTTTAACCTCCACGAACTCTCCATTTCCAATCTTCACCCTGGACTGGAATGAACGATCCAAATCTACAAAATTGGTGAGATCTAGTGTCATACGGTTAGTATAATCATTATCTATTAGCCACGTTTCTCTTCTTATGTGAGTTGCATGACAAGAGGTCATGAACAACTGTTCTCCCTCTTGATTTTGTTGTTGCATTTTGACCAAGTGACCTATTTGCTATGGTTGGTTTGCTTTATTCTTGTAAACCTTTTCAATATGGTTGAACTACTTACACGACCTACACTAAATGTTAGGCCTGAACTAATATCTATTCTCCGCATGATTTTTCTTCTTACAGTGGGGACATGGTAGATATCCCTTCATCCCACCATTCTTGCCTCATTGGTTATTCGCCTTTTCTTTTCCCTTTCTATCTCCAGCAAGCTTTTTGTATCCTTCTTGCACTGATTTCCCTTTATATGAAGCCGTCATGGCTCCTTCACTACTGTCTTCTTGTCTTAGCACCCTTCTCTGTTCTTGAGCTTGTAGGGCATGGGCAAACTCAGTAAGGGTAATCTGAGATAGATCTTTTGAGTCATCTAAGGATGAGATTTTGACCTCAAACCTCTCTGGTAGACTCATTAACACCTTTTCGACTATCCTCTTATCCGTCATTTCTTCGCCAGGAAGTTTGATTTTATTGACCACATTCATCAGTCGATCAACATATTCTTTAACATTTTCAGACTCTTGTATCTTCAGCGTCTCAAACTCCCTTTTCAAATTCAAGACATGCATGTTGCTGGTTTTGTCACTTCTAGCAAACTCCTCTTTAAGCTTATCCCAAGCTTATTTTGGTGTCTCACAAGCCATTATTCTTGTGAAGACCAGCTCTGTGACAGTCGAGTGTATGTGCGACAAAGCTCTTGGAGCTTTTGTGGCTTCTTCTTCATGTAGACAAATCTGGTTCAATGTGGGATTTGGTCCCGGTTGAGTTAGTTGCTTTTCTTCTGCCACATATTGCCAAAGACCTTGTCCTTGCAAGTACGTCTTCATTTAATAGCCCACATATGGTATCGCTCTCCATTGAAGACTAGAGGTAAAAGGGAAGTTGTGCGTGATGCCATGAAGATAGGTTTTGTGTTTTAAACTAGAGAGTTTTTCTGTGGACAGAAGATGAAAGGGTTTATAGGAAGGATGAATCTCAGCGAGGCTCTGATACCAATTGTTGGGTTTACAAGCTGGAGAAGGCAAAGGAAAGAACTCACACACATATTTTCTTTATCTCAAACAATGTTTATATACACGCTAATTACATCATTGTATACGCCACGGATAGGCCTATTCTACTGAGCATATAAATGTTATCCTAGATTGTAGACATTTTTACAAGTTATCATATTAGAGCCAAACATTTCTAACCAATTTGACATTTATCAGTCTTATCCTTAAAAAATAGTTAAACCACTTCAAATAGTTGACTGTCTCTGACAACATTAATGATGGCTCTGAATCAATGACCTCTTTCAGGCA